CCCGCCGTTGGGGGGAGCGGGCGGGTCGGCGCCGGCCTGCGCGCCGATGACCGGCTCGGCCTGGCGAGCGCCGAGTGAGGCCTCCAGCGGCCTGAGGGACGGGGAGGGTCGCCGCCTGAGGCAGGCTTGGGAGGGAAAAGTGGAGAAAATAACACAATTAGGCCAGGTGAGAGTACCCGGCGTAGGAAGAACAAGGGGATTATAAGGCGTGGTGCGTCAAGGAGCCGATAAAGGCGCGGGTGAGGGCGGGCGGTGGTTCCGAGCCTGCGTGCCGGCGGTGGGTTTCTGCTGCCTGCCTCGGTGGGAGGCGCTGGGCTAAACAGACCCGCTCTGATAGCGTAACCGTCACGACCGTGCCTGCCCGTGGCTCTCCTTTACCCCAGACGGACAGCTGGTGACTTCGGTATCCGGCTCCTGCCAAGCCCCTAGGTACAGTCACCGGAGGAGCGTTGCTGCCGAAGAGCCTGCAAATGCCCTTAATTCCTTCAGCTTCCCTTGGCTGCGCGTGGCTCCCGCCGGGCTCCTCCGCTTAGTGTCCAGGGAGGTGGTGCAGGGGCAGCGGGGCCCAGAGGGAGAATCTAAAGCCCCTTTCAGACTTCTGCGAGGTCGTGTTGGTATCTGTGGGTGTCTTGAGGGCGGTCTCTTGGGCACCACCGAGCTAGAACATCAAGTGCCGGTTCCAAGTCATGCGCCTTCTAACGGGGCCGTGTAACTTCTTGCTGAAATGAGATCCTGCTAATAGCAAACAAAATTTTGTTATATTATACTCCTAAATACTGTCGAGCTCTCTGTTAAGCCTCTTACTATTCCTCACCAGGTAACACGAGAGTTATTTGGGGTTTTTTGTTTTTAATGTTTAATACTACACAGGAAAGATATTTCTCACAGCACTTGCGTACCATGAGCGAAGAGATATGGGAGGGGAGAAAACCATCACATGCTACTTTGAATGATCTGTTAATATAATATTATATATAGAATCATTATAGAATCATAGAATCATTAAGGTTGCAAGAGACCTCCAAGATCATCGAGTCCAACCGTCAACCCAACACCACCATGCCCACTAAACCATGTACCTAAGCGCCTCATCTACCCGTCTTTTGAATACTTCCAGGGATGGTGATATATAATTATATTATATATTTATATAATATTATATAAATAAAAAATAATAGAACACTTTGCACGTGCTTGTTTGAATGGTGTATGTTGCATCACAGAGTTATTTGGTTTTCTTCTAGCGGGGCTGTGCTGAATACTTGGTGCAATGGCTATGCAGATGCAGTTCGAAGCAAATGCAGACACATCAGCGGAGGAAGAGAGCTTCGGACCACAGCTCATATCTAGGTTAGAGGTAGGTAAGGAGTTAGCTCCAGAGTAGGATTTCAAGAAATCTGCTAGTCTTTTGCCTTAAACACAAGTTGTAGCTGAAAATTGTGTTGCTAAATTCTTACTTTGTTCTGTCAAAAAAACCCAAAACAAAACAAAAAACCCAACATGTTAACAGTTATGTTTTCTATTATGTTGCCTTGCTGTGCACCCTTCCCTAACGTGTATTGATCACCTCCAGCATCTATTAAACCAGACAGAGAATGATATCTTGTGGCTGTTCTCTGCCATCTATATAGTTAATAGCTTATGCAAACTTTACACTGGTAAAAGGATGTTATTTTTTATGGTTCTTTGTGTATAAGTGAATAGGGGGGTAACGTTCAATATGCTGACTTGTAATAACAGAGTTTGATCCAAATCTGATGAAGCCAGTTGAAGGTGTTCAGTGGAAGTTAGATTAAGGTATCTGTGTCTTAGTGTGTCCTTTTTTTCTCCCCTCCCCTTCAGCAATGTGGTATAAATGCAAATGATGTGAAGAAATTAGAAGAAGCTGGATTTCACACGGTTGAGGCTGTTGCTTATGCACCAAAGAAGGAGCTGCTAAATATTAAAGGCATCAGCGAAGCCAAAGCTGACAAAATCTTGGTAAGGGTGTTATGGAAAAGCTTTAACCCAAGATATTCAGGAAGTTTTATTTCTGCTGGCTTAAAGTGTTGTGGTGATTTTGGAAGGTCTCCATTAATGATATACTGAGAAGGGCAGTAAAGATGATTAGAGGTATGACGTGACTTTTCATGAGAAGAGACAAAAAACACTAGGACCAGCTTTGAGAAGGGAAGGGGGAGGGACTATTAGAAAGGTGGAAGAATAATATAGGAAGGAATAATATAGAAATCGTGGAAGGTACGGAGAATATGCCTGAGATGACTGTTATTTATAGCTCAGTATTTCTCATGATAAGGTGGCTTATGATGAGCCTAAAGCGAAGAAAGTACTTTTTCATACAGGTTGTAATTAAGTTATGGAACTCCTTGTCCCAAGGCACGGTGGCCATCTGTAGCATAAACTGGTTTAAAAAGGGGCTAAGTGCAGTGTTTGTGGGGTACCGTTCAGATCAAGAAGCTCGCTAACTGAACCCAGAGGAACTACTAGATAGAGGGTCAGTCCCTCG